CTGCGTGTTCCAGGCACAAGCAGTTCTCCAGAAAGCTCTCCTCTTTGCCATGACACCAAGCGGGACAGGGACTGCTGGGTGGTGGTTTGGGGGAGGGGTGGGAAGCAACTTGCTTTGAGAAAGTGCTTTTACTCTTTTACGGGCAAGTTGAAACAGAATGAGAAAGCTGATCTCTAGAGATGAATTCTACATCAGATCATGGGCACTAGCTTTTGCCCTGCCATCGAAAGGCATTATTTGCTAGGGCTGCCAGAGACTGCGTGTATCAGAGGCTGGGTCTTTTCCCATCAATATTTGCCCACACCGAAGTCTGAAAACAGATTTCAGTACATATATAATTTTAAAATGTAGATCAGTAGCAACCCAAAAGAGGGGGAAAGTGGGAGAGTTGATTTTAACACAACTCTCCTCTTTTCCTTGTATTCTCTCCAGGAGACCTGACTGCCAGCTCATTATCTTGAATGTTATCCATGAAACAACACTGAGATTGTCAGATGAATTTTCCTCCCCCTACTATGTGAGTCTGTGATAAAACAGAGAATGACTTGGATCCTGTGATAATACTGTGAGTCATTCAGACCATTTCTCGGTAGTGACCACTCCATAAAGACACATCTCTGCTTAGAATACCGGTACGCTCTATCCTTTTCTACATGTACCTTTCCTTCAACCACAGTCTATCACTCATCTGAAAGGCAGCCTCCCCACACTGTTCCCCGAATAACATAAAATACCTTAAGAATGAAAATGCCTTACGTAACAAACATTACACAAATATGCAATAACCCCGATTGTGACAGCGTAAATATTATGTCTGGGAAGACATCCACAGCAAGAACATAAGGAAGGAATTTCATTTTATAAAAGAGTTGGGAAGGGTACTTGTTTGAAAGTGGGCAAGATTAAAGTTGCCAGGGAGATCAGCATAAACACAAATGTCCACCAAGAAATTAACCCCAGTCCTAACGGATGGGGGAGCACGTGCCCTCTCTGGGCTGGTTGTGGAATTCGAGGTGCAGGTCTGCAGCTGGGGGGCCAGGCAGTCACTAGAGAGGAGGCTGCCCCTTCGATGACAAGACAAGCCCTTCTCCTTTGCAAGGGACCATATGCGTGCACACCTGATGGCCTCTCAAAAGTCTGGACCAGCGGTTTGACTGGGATCTGTTTTCCTAATTATACACACCAGGTCCTGGCTATAATAAAAGCAGGTGTAACCAAAACAGCACAGGGTGTAAGAAGAATGTCTAACTCATGTGTTCGTTTATTTCCTCATTTTCCAGTTATCTACAATGTGCAGCACAGCACTAGGCGAGCCCTCCATAGTCAAGGCAAAGATCCAGATTCAGAGATTCTTAGCTTGGCGGGTCCATGGATCCCCAGAAGGTCCATAAACAAGCTTCAGCGGCCCTGAAAACTGAAATTGTACAAGAAACTGTGTGTGTAAGTGCACGTGTGCATTTTTTTCCCCCTGGGGAGAAGGCTTCCAAGGATTTTCAAAATTATTCATGACGTTCCCAAAGGTTAAAAATCATAGTCTTAGGAAAATCAGAAGGAAATTTGCAGTGCATTCTCTTCCCCCATTTACGATGCGGTAGATAATACGGTCTGGTAGATTTCCTCTTTGGTTCTAAAATGAATTAACTAAGGCCATAATCCCTGATTGATCGATTCCTTTACAACTGATTAAGTACTCCAATAGCGACGGGAGCTCTCACAGATTTCACTGCTAAAGTTTCTTCAACGTCTCTCGGCTGCGGCCATGATACACTTTCTTGTAACTGAAAATACCCGTAGCACCTGCCCCGATGACAGATGTCAGCTGCTGCTAACGATCTCACCTCTCGATCCTGAACTGTGATTTTCTGGAGGTAAGGGATAGTCCCAGGACGTGTGTTTAAGTGTGAATTGTTCTGAACAAGAAGCAGTGTGCTCGGTGTCAGCTCCCCTCTTCTGGGAGCTGCTATTTCTTCTTCCATTGTAAAGGAACGGTTGATCTATATGGAGATACTGAATCAAAGGGAGAAAATTCCCAGGGGGAGATAGCCCTGAAGGAGAGATTTAAATTGTCAGGGCCGGAAAGGAGGGAAGGAAAGGAAAGGAAGGAGGAAGGTTCAGACTGCTGAAGCCTTCGCCAATACTTTTTAGGGGCCAGTGTTTTCAGCAAGGCTGTAAAAGCCGGATGGGCAGGTTTTCCCAGTTGCAGGCTGAACCCGAGGTTAGGAGCTGTGGTCCTGGACATCAGCCAGCACCCAGACAGATTGGTTTTGTCGAACAGAGAAAAACCCTTCCATGTTCAACCTCTGACAATTTCTACGCGGTTTTACAATCCCCAGGGACTGGCAGCTGAGACAAGAAAAGGGAGTTTCTTTTTCTACCCTTTATTTGGAACTGAGCACCAGGCCCCTTTGAGAATCCATCAGACCAGTGGCTTTTGACAGAATGGGAAATAGGCACTGAAACGTTCGGTGAGCCAACAGCCAGGACCTTCTCGGCCCCTGTGTGGTGTGTTGATGCCAATGTCATATTTTCAGACACATTTTCAAAACCAGAAAACGAAATAGTGGCTCGTCTTAAGATCAAAAATGAAATAGTGGATAGTCTTAAGATCACTTAATAAAACGTTATGAAACTTTTAAAGGACAAGATTCAGTGAGGTAGATTAAGACTAATTGTTAAAATGAGTGAGAGTCATCTGCTGTCTTCGTAATGGGAAGGAAATTGCAAAAAAAAAAAAAAAAAACAAAAACAAAACAAAACAAAAAACCTGGCAGGCTTTGATGTTGACACTTAGACTTGAAAGCGTAAAATCAAGTTGTATTCTACCACTATGGGGAGAAATTATGAGAGAGTCAAACTGGGCCTTTTGATGGCTCATTTTGTCTTGTAGTCCTAACCAAAAAAAAGAAAATCATTCAAAACTGACAATATACACAGTAACTGTAATTGGGCAAAACATTCATTTTGGGGTTCCTCTATTTTGGATTGCTTATTATCACGCGTGGGAAGCAGAGACTGCTCAAGACAGATATTGTCCATATATGGAGCGTTTCAATTAATTTTCTCGTTCCAGGTTATCAGAAGACAGCCCAGCCTTGGGTGCAGTTATTTTACTCTGCAAACTCAAGGGCATCCTGGCACGAATCAGGCAGCCAAAGGCAAACACTCCACACCTTGGGGAAACAGTTCCTTGTTACCCAAGTAAACACGAGCTTCTCTTAGTCACCCACTTGAAACAGACACGGCCAGTGAGGGGCGAGAAACGCCAGAAAAGAAAGCAGGCTGCTTTCAAAATTTCACTCTTTATCATCACCGACCTCCTGGGCCTTGCCAAAAAGCCACTACTGCACTTCTTATGGGAAAATGGCATGGGCCATTAAAGAGTTTCCAAAACTTCCATAACCAAAACCTGACCCGTAGACCCACATAGATGCATATGACGATAATATAACTTCCTCTGGAAATGCAACTAAATGATACTCAGCTGTGGCTTCCTAAGAACAGAAATCCACAGGAATTGACCTGAGGTGGTTACGAGGCTGGAAGGCATGGACCAGGCAGTAGGGCCTTTGTTTTTTATTGGCTTCTACTCATCTGAGGCCTTCAAGATGTTTTCTAAACACACATCTCTGAATCATAATGGGAATTCCATTTACTGAAAGGTGGGGACTTTTAATATAACAAGTGAACCCATAGAATGACTTGTGCCTTTATACCTTATAGCACCATTCATGCTTTCAATAAGTGGTGTAATTTTCTTGGTATTACCCTGTTATTAACATAGTGCTATGAACAAATATTTTCAATCACGTTATAAGTTTTTTACAATTTTCTCTACCTTTGATTCTATCTCGAAAATTCCCCAGACAGCTAGGATAGCACAAAAACAATAGCGCAAAGCAGCATGCCTTTACCCCCATTCCTCTTTGACTAATCAAATTCCCCCAAAACACAGACTTTCTTATATTTTTAAATGCCTTTATACAGACTAATGATTACTCTTATGTTTAAATGTCCATTGGTTGTACTTTTACTTTTTTTCAATACAAGAGTCAGCTACTGTTATTTAGGTTACCACGTCTTTTCTATCATACTCAAAATAACTTTTATTCCTAAGCTTATTCAATACTGTATTACAAAAATGAGATTTTCAAAACGAACTATCTTACCTCCTTCAGTTAAACTAATCCTACTTATTGCTATTTGTAAAATAGGACTAAGTTTCTTACAATACAAAGAAAACACAATATTTGAAAATAACTGGAAACCGGAGGAGATTACAATATGCCAAGATTCCTCTTTCTGCTCTAATACTTTGATAACGGGCACAGAAAAAGAAAACTACACATAGAACTTCACTGATGCAATCATTCCTCTGGAGAATCCAGTCTTTAATATTATTAGTACCTAAAATACTAATAAGGCATCCAAATTACATATAGGAAGGTCACATTGCCATCAAATTCACCAAGCCAGAATGTTACTATTTCTTCATATTTTACCATAAAAAATGCTTCCTTGAAACACATTTCAATCATCATTCACTATATAGCCCTTAAAGTTATTAGAAGTGATCATTTGAAACTCTGTCACTTGTCAAAGATAACACATGGGCCCTAAGTTAGAGGTTTCCAGTAAAGAGATATCTGAAAATTGTCAAAGAGAGAGAACCCCAGTTGCATGATCTTAGTTTCCATGATGGTAAGTTTTATATTTTTTACATTTTAGAAAAGATCTGAGAGGTCTCCTTGAAATTCACAATTCATGTTTTGCCTGCTCCAAATCAGTCTTAAACCAATTCCATAATAGAAAGCAATAGCGTAAAGCCAGATTCTGTTAAAAACATTAAATTTTAAATAAAAAGCTGATGTAGCAATAATAACGGGAAGAAATGACTGTGTTTCTAGGGAATCCCATCACAGAAACTTCTAGATGTTTTGAAATCTGGGTTTGTTGCTATGTAAATACTGGGTATTTCAAGTTCAGTTCTGACAGATACATACCTCTTCCACTCCGACCGACAAACCTGAGGTCATTGAATCTCGCGACTTGGTTTTTCATGGCCGCTGTTGCATTTCTCAGTTCGGCTGAGTAGTTTTCATCATTGCCTGCCATCACAGTGACCAGAGTGCCATCTGGAACGTCCCCCAGTGCCACCACCTAAACACCAGACATCAGGCATGTTAGAAACTTTGATGTCATTTGCATAATTATTCTAAAATTGAATGTATATTAAGTGATGCTTTTTAGTTTGCGAAGGAATGACAATCAGAAATTAAGCAAAACAACAGAAAAGTTCTTAATGGGAAGATTTACTTTAAATTCCACTATGCAAAGTTATAAATGTTTAAATAATAGAACATTCACCTGTGAGGCCACACAAGGTCACAGAGCTGGAATAACACTCACTATAGCAAGGACTTTGAAAAGCTATGCCTTCTCACGAATACAATCGTCTCTTAATTCTTCATATTTGAGAAACAGAATGTCTCGTTTTTTATAAGTTTATAACCTAACCCATCTTTCGTTTGTCTAGACCTCCACCGACAGGCCGAATAGGGCGGATTTTGCCTTTTAGGTGTTTAAACTTACTTCTGCTAAAATTAAATTTGATTGCTACCACTGAATTGCTGACGATTCTTGAATGACTTAAACTCTCCCTTCGCAATTAGTTCATCCTTGTTGCCCCTACTCGCTTCTACTACCTTGATTTTCACTAGCAGTGAATTCTGGTATGCAAGAGAAAAAAAATCAGAAACATGCCCTTGGCTTAATACTAACTACAAAATCAACAGACCTCAGAGAAGAGGGGTGCTCACTTGGATGCGCCCCTCTGAATTCAGGAGCGGAACTATGTCGCATTTTTATATCTGTGAGTCCCAGAGATGTGTTAACTTGGGACCTTATAGATGACTGAGGTTTTCTCCAAACCCAGTTGATCTTGAAGAAGAATTCCTTCAATGTAACTGAATGGGAATGGATTTCTATCAGAACTACTAAAGTCAACCAGTAAATACATATTTTTTGACACTTAGGTAAAAAAAAAAAAAAAAAAAAGCAGCAATTTCAAGGTAAAATGCTTTAAAGGGCATGGCCCAAAGATGCTTCCTGCAGTAGTATCCATTTCTTGATCATCATTTGACCCTTCTAGAAACTATTTTCTTGATCAAAACATTTATTCTTAGCTATAGTCCCATTGTTTGTGTTTTTTAAGGTAGTTGTAGAATTTCAAATCAAGATGCCCCAAGCTCTGCGTATTCCTATCACTTGCGATACCCCTTATGGTACTTTCTCAGTCTCTAGTGAAATGTGTGCTCATCATTCCAATTATATAATCGTTTTGGGGGTTTTGGTTTTGAGCTGTGATAATAAAGCATTCTACAGTGATTATTCCTCCTTCTGTTTTCCACCTCCCCATTTTTACCTAATATTTGCTACATAATTTGGGGGGGGTAACACCTATACTTCAGTCCTCTTTTTCTGTCTGTAAATAAGGCTGCCACAGGCTCCCTTGTATGATACAAAAGCCACGTTTCTCTAAATTCCCATCTTCATTGCCTGCTTCGTCATCACCCTTTCTCTGTGTCATCCAGATGACCATCTATTGTTTTTATTCCCGAGGATGCTGTGGCTCTTGGATTCTAAGGAGTACGATGGGGAAAATGAACCAACTCACTATAAGGGGTGGATGTACTTCCAACCCCAGGACTACACCAGGAGAATCAATTCTCACAGCAATAGGTAGGTATGTTCTTCATCTATTTTATCCAACTTGCACTCTTATCTTTCTTTCCATCCAAATGGACATGTTTTCTATAAAGGAAATTTAAAAACACAGCTATTTCTTCCCCAAGCACCCTCTAATTAGGTATTTAGAGCCCACTATTAGTATGTTTGTTGCTGTTTAGTTAAGAGCAGTAATATGACAATTCCCTTTTGTTTCAAAAATATTACTGAAATAAATCTCCTTGATCAGTTATTTAGTTATTGTTACCGTTTTTTCTATTCCCATAAAATATACTTACTTTATTCTGCTTTTCTCAGTCTCTTAAAAATCCCCCGTCCTTTTTTTCCCCACTGTTTTCACTTCCCTCTGTAAAATTAGCCCACAATGTTGAAATGTCCTCCTTGAAAACATATTTTTACTCCCTTTTCCCCATCTCCCTGTGATGACCTGGCATCTCTATTTTAATTCCACATTCAGTAAGCATACAGGGACCGGATCAACCACATGGTTTTCCAACTGAATAAGTCATTGTTGGTTAAATAGGTTAAAATAAATAAATCTTGTTTTATAACTACCAAATGTTTTCTAAATCACCTTCATCCTACTGGCCCCTCTCACAGGCTCCATGACTGTGCCTCACTCATCTTTCCAAAACGATCCTCGTCAGTAATACGGCAAATTCATGAGGACAACACCAAATAGAAACAAATAGAGAGTAAAATAATCATGGTGGCTAAACAAGAAAATGCTGTTGATGCTGGAATTTAAGACTAAACAAATCAGGAGTTTAACTCCTTCTTTTCCCTTTTTTTAAACTGTAGCAGGAGTCAAAGGTATTTCGGGGCTCAAAGATCATTTACTTGGCCTTTCATCGATTTTTCATGGTGGGGGGAAGGGAAAAATATTAAATCCAGGAATATTACATTAATAAAGTATATCATCTAATTATTAGCAAGCATTCTTAGACTAGGAAAAAGAATTTAAATTTAAAACTAACGTGTCTATTAATTTGATACAGATTTGATCATTGATAGGCAATATGCAGAGATTTTTGAAAAAAAATCTAACTTCAAACAGAGAAAGAGAAGCAACTGGAATGAAAAGCTATAAACAATAGGTAAGGAAACACAAACATTTACATTTTAACACAGACCAAACAGACAAGAAGGGACTTGCTGGCCAAAGGATAGCTCATTTTTTTTTTTTTACTTCTCTGTTTTTAAAGTATCAGGAAGTTGGGCAAAATATCAAGCCTCGTCTATGTTACAGAACCTTCCCACACTGCTCTTGGTCGGCCTGTTCACAGTTCAAATTGGCATTTTAAACTAACTCTAATTAGGTTGAAATTACAGTCACAATTCATTTATTTCAAATCCCTTAATTTTCCAGTGTTATAAAGAAAGCTGTGGGGTGGAGCTTAACATTCAGCTGAGATGATATTTAATGCATAGCTAGGGGACCACGATCTTGCTGACACAAACATTACTCCTTTCTTTCCTATGAAAAGAATATTACTATCAGTGCCCAAGGCCTCTGAACTTGCTGAAGGCGTGTTTATGCCTTTGGACTCTGGTGTACCAGGGCCTAAATGAACTTTAATATTATAGTCTTACAAAATATATCCTAAGTCATCCAAACAGCCTTTTTGGCTGCTTCTGTAAATAACGGGTAACAGTAGCAAATTTAAGATTTTCTCGGTAGCAAAATAATAGATCTCTTCTAGGCTGAAAAATAAAGGTGTTTCGTGGGAGAAGGTGGGGGGCACTTTGGGGTCCAGGATAAGCAATTAGGATGACTGTAATCTATTTTAAGGAAAATTCATAACTTGAAATCTCCCTTTAGTTTCAAAGATTAAAGCTGAGGATTTACACGTATTCAGAAGACTCCTAAAGAATCACTTCAATGCTCTTTTCATCTATCATGAGACTTTATCACTGGTTTTCATTTTCTCCTCCTTAATACAGGGAATGTAATAATTCTTTACTGATTAACTTCTTAAAGAGATTGTCTGAGGCTTATACAAGATCCAAATTTTAAAGTAATAATTTCTATAGAAACTGCTTGGGAGGTAGGTGGTGGAAGGTGAGTACAGACTGGATTCAGGGACACACAGTGAATGAATCAAGCCGGATACAGTCATTTTTTTCAAGTTTAGCTTGCTTTATCCCTAATCTTTGCGCCTGTTGCCTCCCTGGAAAATTTGCCTGCTCCTTCCGTTATGCAAAGAGCAGGTCTCCTTCCGAAAGAGGCCCCTCTTTATGGGGACGGGAGTGGAGACAGATTATTCATCGAGGGGTCTGATTCCTCTGCTGTCCTTGCCTTTGCCCCAAATGTTCTCAAGACCCACTTGAACTTTTCTCAAGAGATCTATACCTTGATCTTTAACCTAGAAACGATCACTCAGTAAAACGGATCTTTTTTAAAGTGAATTTTGTCAAAAGTCATTTTAAAACGGAAACTTCTATGGTTATTAAGATTTCCGCTAAAAGGAATTCCCTGATGGCTCATGAAAACAATTTATATGATTTTTTTTTCATTCTTTTAGAAGAAAATAAATACTTTCATGTGGTGGCTTGAGCAACGACATCGCTTTAACTTCTGAAGATTCTCGCTTAATCACTTAGTGCTTGGGGTGTGGGTCCCTAGTAGAGGAGGAGAGATACAGAAGAGACTTGATTTATCCCAAAGGAAGCCACAGATCCCTAAGAACCCACACCCTTGGCGTGTCCAGAGCACCCGGTCTTAAAGGACCCTTTGGTTGATTATCAGCTTGTCTCCTCCCCTCTGTACTTATCTGAAAGTGACCCCAGGGCCCATCCCTGTCAGGTCCTCTGGAACTGAGGGAGAGCTGAGGAGGTCTGCCTGCTGAGTCTGTTTATGTAAAGGGATTAGAGTGATTTCAAATTGAAATGGGCTCCTAACCCAAACGTACAGAGCCGGAGGAAGGGACAGGAAAGCATCCAGTGGCTGCTCAAACTTATCCTCATTTTCATCCCCCTCAAAAACTCCTGCTTTCAGAAAACGGAGGCAATTCTACAGACACAGACAATTGCACTTTTTTTGGCTGTTTGTTTTAGAAATCATAATCTAAGTTTGGAAGGTATGTAAAGCTTAAAAATAAAGAACTCTGACAGTACCTTTTTTTAAAAAAGTGAACATTATTCATTGTAACTAACTCAAGATCCAGCGCAGGCTTGGAACCATAAAAAGCTTATATTAAATTAATCGCCTCTTAAGGGGACAATTATTTAACCAGATTTTTTTTTTTTTTAAGAAAAAAGAGTAGCTGATCTTTACAGCTTCCCCCCCCCACCTGCTTTCCTCAGTCCCTGCAATGAACCGGAAATGACTGCACTGATTGTATTTAAAAGCCTGCCCCTTCTTCAACTCACCCAAGACAGAAGAACTGAATCCCCACCGCCGAAATGAAATGTCTGCTGTTTGCTGCCAGGGTGGCGGTGGTTGTCTAAAAACGCCCGGGGTTGTTTATGTATCCCCTTTGAAGGCCAAGGTTTTTATAGGGAGCTCAAAGCTAGGGCAAGATCAGGGGTGAAAAGTGAACGAGGACCTCTCAAGCTGTTCGGCTGAAGTTACCCGGTCCACACCGCCCCCTCCTCAAACAGCAAAGCGGGCGGATTAGACGGCCGTCTCACGCTAGACAGCCTCGCCTCCTTCCGCTGCCCCGGGCTTAAGCTAGGTGAGCCGGCGATAACGTTCAGTGGGGTACCAGGCAAAGAAAGAGCATTCGCTACTTGCGGCTTCTGGCAGGAGCAGCCTAGAAGCTCGAAAAAACTCTTCAGAAAACTTTTGCAAACTTAACTACTCCCGCCGTGGACTTTGAACCTGCTAATTCCTACAGGGCTGTTAAAGAGGGGGTGGAAGTGGAAAGCCTTGACAGTTTTCCTTGTCAGTTTATTTACATTGACCCGAAGGTATAAAAGTATCTCTATTTTATTTCCTGACGTCTCCCTCAGAATGGTTTGGGTGTCAAGCCAGAGGCGGGGAGAGACGCAGAGGAGCTGACAGACAGGCTTGTCCCTGCTGGGTTATAACTTTTCCTACTTTAGATCAAAGCTAAGGACCCCTGCCGGGGAGAGGTCCAGCCGGCCCTCAGTGGACGTCTTTGGGGGCATCCTGAGTTTTGCGGCCATCCTTGGAGGCCGCCGCGGCCGGTTAAGGCGGGCCCCTCGAGGGTCGCCACGGCAACGCAGCATCCCCAGTCTCCCGAGCGCAGGGGGATGGACCACAGGCCTCAGCGCCGGCCCCTTTCTAGAACCCGGCCCCGCCTGCCTGGCCGCTGCCCTCCTCGATCTCCCCGGCCTCGACCGGCCTCTGCCTGTCCTCCCTCCACCCGCTCCGGGCCGAGTACCTTGAAAGCGATGGGCAGGGTCTTGTTGCAACGCCAGTGCGTGGGCAGTACAGAGCACAGGAAGTTGGGGCTGTCGGTGCGCACCAGCTCGCCCGGGTGGTCGGCCAGCACCTCCACCATGCTGCGGTCGCCGCTCCTCAGCTTGCCGGCCAGGGCGGCGCCGGCGTCCGGGGCGCCCAGCGGCAGCGCCTCGCTCATCTTGCCCGGGCTCAGCGCGGTGGAAGGCGGCGTGAAGCGGCGGCTCGTGCTGGCATCTACGGGGATACGCATCACAACAAGCCGATTGAGTTAGGACCCTGCAAACAGCTCCTACCAGACGGCGACAGGGGCGCGGATCTTCAGCAAGCAGCTCCCGGGAGACCAACATACAAGTTCAGGGAGCTTTATTGCTGTGGGGTGGCTGGGGAAGGGGGCAGACTAAGAGTTACTAACAGTCCAGGAGGGGGAAAATTCTAGTTTTGCCGATCGGCCTCAGACCCACGCAGGACTCTTTAGCAACTGACCGCTCAGTGCTTTAAAAAGTGGGCGACCAGAATCCAAAGTCAAGTGCCAAGGGAGGCGATCTTCTTCTGAGTCTTGCTTTGAGAGTTTTAAGTTCAGTCTTTGGCTGTTACCAAAGTTCCCAGAGGCAAAATTCCCATACACTTCCTAAAATATTTATGCGGAGAGCAAAAGGACCAGCAAATACATAATTTGGAAGTTCCAGTAGTTAATTGCCTGTCAGATTTTTCCCAGGTGAATTTTGTCTAAAGTCCAACACAACAGAAAATACACGAGGAGTGTCTTCCAAATACGGCGCCACTTTTTATCATGCAAAACTGGCTTCGGTCCTCAAAAGCAAGAGCTGAGACTTCCAAAGGTCCTGCTGCTAATGTATGTGCACACATATATATATAAAAATATATACATATGCTCTACTTCATAACATATTTACAACACAATCTGTAGAGAATTTAAACACAACAGAAATCCATTACTGTTCGCTGCAGGTTTTTTTTTTTTTCTTTTTAAGTAGCCTTGAAACTCAGCTTCAGTAGTTGGAGAAGGGCTGGGCGAGAAGTACTTGTCATGTTCTCAATAAATTCTGGCAAAATGCTCAGTTCGGAAAATTCAGCTTTTCAAAGAAAAGCTAATCTTAAAAAAAAAAAAAAAGTCCAAGTCAATGACACCTAGAGTTCAGCTCTCCACATCTGAGAACTCGGGTTTGGGGATGTTGGTTAAGTTTGCGGCTGGTCCTGTGGTTTGGTGGGAGGTGAACAGCAGCCGAGTCACACGCACGCAGGCACGCACTCTTCGGAAGCCAGCCGCTGTCTGCATCGACTGCGGTGAGTCAGCCCCGACTTGGGCAGTAACTAGACGATCTTCCTCCAACGTCGCCCCAGCGTCGGCCGGTTAACTACTCAGACGCGCCAATAACCACGATCACAGCGTAACCGCAGCAGGTGGAGCGGGCCTTGTGAGGAAGCTCCGCAGCGCAGATCGAAACAGACGGGGCGGCTCGTTACACAAGCACGCACACACTGCCACGCACACGCAACTTCACCACTCGCCTCGAAGCACAGCGCACTTTCTCCAGCAGTTGCCAAAGGAAACAACCGGGTGAAAGTTCACACCCAGGAAAGAAGTTGAATCATCCAGCCAAGAAACCAGTTCATTCAAAAGTAAGAAAGAAAGAAGAAAAATAAAAATCGAAGCTCCGACGCGGGTCAAGGAGAAACAGCAAAGACTGACTTTCTTCTGGTGTCCCCAGGAGCCCCGGGAAGAGGTGCCTGCCGGCGCAGGGCCGGGCAGCGTGGTGCCCTGGCTGGGTCAGGCCGCGGGGCGCCCGTCCTGCCTGCGCCCGCTGGCTCTATGAATGAGAGTGCCTGGAAATGAATGTGCTTTTACTGTAAGCCCGGCCCGAGGAATTCCATTCCCTCAGCTCGTTTGCATAGGGGCGGCCGCTGGCCAATCACAGGCCTTTCCGGTATCAGCCAGGGCGCGGCTCGCGGCCGCGGGCTCCTGGAATTGGCCCGCGCGCCCCCGCTGCCGCCGCGCGCTACTGTACGCAGCCGGGGTGGAGAGTCCACCGCCGCCGCTGCCACCCGGCGTTCCCCGCGCATCCGCATCCACGCACACACACGAACACACGCACACGCTCCCACGCTCGCCCCAGGCCCCGCCCCGGTGCGGACCGCGGCCCTGCGGCTTTGCACACACGGGGGGTTGTGTGGCCGCCTGCTTTGGGGCTGCAGTGAACGGCCTCGCCAGGGGCGGCCGCGGTCCAGGGACCGAGGAGGTGGAGAAGAGGAGGCCTGCCGGCCTGGGGAGGACTCGGGCAGCTTGCTGAGCCCCGAGCAGCCCGGGACCGGAGACCTGCCGTAGGGAGGCGCCCCGCGAGCCATCGAGATGAATCGGCCGCCGCGAGGCTGCGCGGCCGCGGCCGAGACTCTGCTTTCCCGGCGTGGGTGGGATTCGGCCGCGAGGGGGCCGGAGGGCCGAGGGCCCGGCCGGGGAGCCGTTCAGCGCGCCCACACGGCCCCGTTGGCAGCTGCGGCGAAGTGGCGCAGATTCACTTAATGAGGCCAGACGGTTGTCGGTCTCCACAACATGGTTTTTATGTTTTTAGTTTTCTCTCTTGGTTTGTTTTAATTGGTGTTTTATCGCCGCGGCTGGGCTGCGGATTAATTACGCAGCGCGCCTTAATCAGGTTGATTGAGTTTAGCGGCGAGCAAAGGAGTTTCGTAGTTAGACCCCAAAGAACAAGCGACTGGAAAGAAAGTTGAAAGCATCCGCTCGGCTCGCTCCCCATCCTCGGAGCGTCGGCTCCCTCGCTAGGCCCAGGTCGCCCGCGCTCCCCACCCACCTCCGGCTACCCGGAAACGGCCCCGGCTCCGCTCCCTGCCCGCGCGCGCGAGCCGCCGCGGGTGTTAAACCCACCCCGGCTTTGCGCGCTGGCGGGAATTTCCCCCGCTCCAGTCACCGCGGCGCCGCGGGCATTTTCGCGGAGCTTAGAGGGGCCACGCCCCCGCCCGGCCGCGGGGCTCCCCCCCTCCGCGCGGAGCCCACCCGCTCCCTCCCTCGGGGGAGGCGCTCACCCACTCCCCCCCCCCCCCCCGCCCCCCCCGCCGGGGGGGGCGCCCCCCCCCCCCCCCCCCCCCGTCGACTCCCCGGGCGGGGGTCTCTGGCCCTCCCCCCGTGGGTCCCCTCCCTGCCGCCGGTTCGGACTCTCCTCGGGCTCTGGCGTTGTGGCCTGCCGGAGGCAGGGGCCGTGGCGAGCCAGTCGCGCAGGCCTTTCCGGGCGCCCAGGCAGCTTCCCTCGCCCCACGCCCAAAGAGGCCGGGAGGTGCTGCGGACCGCGGGCTCAGGGCGGACGCTAGGGGGCAGCAGCCGCCCTCGCTCGCCGCCCCGGGCGCCTAGTGGCCTTGCAGCGCGCCGGGGAACGCCCCCGACGGCGCGGGGCTCTGCCGGCCTTCTCGCGGCCTTTGGGTCTCCTGTACGAACTTCAGTTGGGGAAGAAACGACAGGAAATGACCGCCCAAGCCAGCCTGCGCGGCATTCCCGCCCCCACACACCACCCGCTATACCGGCAGCGCAGCTGGCGGCCAGGGAACCCTCGGCCAGGGGTCCTGGCTGTCCCGGCCGGCGCGCGTTAGGGTCTCTTCTCGAAACCCCTTTGCCCGAACCCCGCCGTCGGCCGGTCCCAGGCCGTCGGTGCTGCAGGCGTCCCGGGCGCCCTCCATCCTGCCCGGCTTCTCCCCACGTGGGCCGGTCCCCTCGCGCCCCTCGCTCCGGAAAACCCGGGACGTCTGGGAGCTCCCAGGACCCAGCTGCATTTTGTTTTCATGGGTCTGGGGTCTCAGAAAACGCCTTTGTATTTTTCTTTAAAAGTAATTTTGAAGAAGCCGCATTTCAGGTGTAAAGACCCCAAACGTCCTCTCTCCACCTGGGCCGAGGGATTCCAAATACTGCGCAGTCCCAAACCTCCCTGTCTGCCGCCCCTCCTGCCCGGGGCCACAGTCGCTCTGCGTCCGGGCTCGACGCTGCCCGCTCTAGAGGCGAGTTCGGGCGGAGTGAAATCTTTTTGCTTCAGCTCAAGTGCATTTCCCTAAGAGCCGATCAAGCGCTCCTGGGGGCTGCCTCCAAGCGCATCCCCGTAGACCCCCACGGACGGGGGCTGGGACTCTGGAGATGTAGCGGTCTGGGGTATGCTGCCGCTCGGAAAGGTCAGAGAAGGCTCTTCTGGGGCTGCGACCGTTTGCCTGAAACCCTAAACCCTGCGAGGGGCTGCGGGGCGCACCCTGCGCTGCGGTCTCCCGGGCGGGGATCAAGTTCCCTTAGTAAGGTACAGCGGTAGATGCACCAGGTTTACCCTTTCAAGGGCAGCGCGCTGCTCAGCTCAGAGTCTCAACCAGTGAATCCCGAGTTCGAACGCAGACACGGATGATAATAGCAAGGAAAGCTTTTGCTGATTTATTCTGAATCGGGCCACCGGGCGTTTGGGGCTCCCCAGACTTTGCGCAGGTTATAACTGCGTTGCGCGGTGCACGCTTGAAAACCAGAAACAAACAACACTGCCCCTCCTTATCGAGGGACTAAAATGAATGCAAAGCAGGCAGCATGGGGCTCAACTAAAGGATACCCGGAACCCCTTAGTCTGAAGGGCTTTTTACATAGTTTATGAAGTTGAGTAACCATGTACGAAATGAAGAATTCATTTCCACCAGAAGCGCTCATTTAAGGGGCGATATAGAATTTCCCTTTCCCTGCCTCTCTTAAGAGAAAAGGAAAGGAAACATTACAGTATACACTCCTGGTGTTCCTCTGGAATAATACTAAAACCTACTTTTGTCATAATACAATACAAAAAATATAACGAAGTAGTATGTTGGGCGAATGCTGTGTGACAGATTCTTCCAAATTTGCTGCATGGGGGAAATTTCAAAAAGGCTCATCAACTGACTGAATGAAATGTAAGTTTTCACAGTGAACTTAAAAAGCAGTATTTGGTTAGTTGGAAGAAAAAAACACAATTTCACCAGGAAACAACAGCTTATTGACATTTTTTTCTACAACTTTAGGTAAATATATAACTATGGGGAGGGCTCAGAAAATATCTAACTATTTCACATTTTTCCCTCTTTCAAAACCCTCTCAAAAATAAATAAGACTCAACCATTCTCTTAAAATCCCCCTCTGTAATATGATATTTCTAAAATTACTTTTCTAAAAATGTAATATTTCTAAAAGAATTATTTCTGCTTTCAGTGACTATTTTAATGAAAATAAAAATACAGAGAATGTATTTTGCTAGTGGTTCTGGACCAAACTGCTTCAGTTTGTACTAATGTCACAGGGAGGGAGAACAATTTTGTTGAAGACTAACATACATGTTAATGTATGTACAATACACACTGCCCAGTTTTCAACATTGGAATTTAATTAAACATCCCCTTCCCCCAGTGGATTTGAGATTATTTCACTTTTGAAGTCTAATAACTTTGCGGACAAGATCCCTTAGTTCTTCCATTATGTCCTTCCTCTATGTAATGACTTCCATGGGATCCTGTGGTTGATATGTGACTATTTCACTAACTTTGTAAATCAATTTACAACTCACAAGTAGCAAACTGAGAAAAAAATTTTTTAAATCTTTAAAAAAATTATGGATGCTTAGTAAACATTTTACTCTCATAAAAATTTTGCATTAGCACTGCTATAGCAAAAGTAATAAACTAGGTAATAACACATAGAAGCCAAGCTCTATTTTTTTTTAGAGTCATTTTTATTATTAAATGACTCAATAGAGTCATTTAATAATAAACAGCAGAATGCACCTGTGGTAACTGCTGTAGAACCGAGGGTATCTTTTAAGGTTTCATTGGAACATTTTATATGTTTGACATTTACAATATAGAAAACAGCTTTTAAGTATTTTTCAATCAGCAAAAAAAAGTGTTGATTATTTGGTTAATTTATATCGTGAGTTATTTATAGCGATACATGGATAAAATGTCATATATGCATATATGAATGTGCATATTTTGTTAAAAATATAATTTGGAATCTAACATACCGTGAACGTCTCTAGATGGATTCATTCCATGTACACATTCTGAAAAAGTAGAAAGTAGGAAAATAAAAATATTTTTAATATTTTAAAAATATACTGACAGTAAACACCAAATTTACCAAAGCTGATTAATTTAATTTTAATTGGAATCAGTGCCAGTGTAAAAACTAAATCCCCCCTCTCATTTTTTTTGGTAGCTTGTTGCCTCTCACACTTTGTTAGCACTGGAGATTTTTATTGCATATTGTCTAGCTTTGGCTCAAAAATAACTTAAAACAGTAAATCATATAAAAAATGAACTGTTACCTATGCATATGATTTTTATGTACCTTTGACCAATGTTTTTCATTGCTAGGTAATACTGAATCTTTATCTTTCATAGAATCACCTCTTTCAAGCTCTATATGTGATGCAAATGTGATTATTTAATGAACATTAAAAATCCATTTGGAGAATGTAGGGATGGATCACAATTCATAGTGAAATTAAAACCAAACCCTAACTTAATACAAAAACATTTAAAAATCTGTAACATGCTAGAAGCTAAATGCAAGAAGTAAAAATATGAATAGTTTTCAAAGTGATAAAAATAAACAATTTGGAATATACCTTCTAAAAGAAACAAACTAGTAGATAAATGTTATGATAATTTACTTCCAATGATAGGACATTTTAGAAAGATTCCCTCTTTGCTTGATTTCCTTTCCCTTTGCTAGGAGGGCAGATTATTTATATGGAAAGCTTTCATTCTTAAAGTAACAGATGATATCAAGCGTTTTTGAAAATATTTGTCATGTGATAATTTCCATATATGAATTACATATTCATATATGCCCATATATGATTATACCGCTGCATGTACAGTTACAGGTAAAGTCACAGGTAGATCCATTAAGCAAAGCCATGTGAAGCTATTCCTCTTTCCCTTGAATATCTATGTATAATGTTCTGAATGTGAAATTATTCCATCAGCCTTGTATACTGATAATGGTCAGCACTGAATGATTAACGTGGAGGAAATAGCGTTTTTCAAAGCCTTAGGATTTGAGCATTTCAAATACTGCAGACCTAAAGCTTTCAACTCCACTGCACATTAGTATAACATAGCTTAAATAAAACCTTTACAACTAAGAAAGGAGGTAATTATTTCAGATTTCTGGATGCTGTTTGAATAGGCAGGAGAACAAAATTTTCAGCTCCTTAGTCTTATATTTTTGCCAAAGCAAAAAGGGCAACTAAAATGATAAGGGGTTCTGAAGGACTGCCCTATGATAAAAAATGAAAGGAATTCAGTATGTGTAGTCTTAAAGGAGCATCCTTAAAACACACACATACACACACACACACAAACACACACACATACACACACAAGATTGTGGTTTACGAGTACATAAAGTGACTCCATAAAGATTTTTAAAAAACAGAGCAGGGAAAGAATTATTTGCACTAATAATGAATGATAAGGCAAAAAATAACAAATGTACCCAGAAGTTAGTAAGTTTAGTTTTAATAGGCATGGGGGTCGGGGGAAATCCACAACAGTAAGATTGACCAGGCAGCTGAGTTTATACTAAAGAGACCCAACAAAACTAACCACTCTGGAAATTCTCTCTTGAGACCCCGAGGAGCCTTTCCATGTCTGAGCCTGAGAAATATGAGAAGCAGAGTGGAAAGGCAAGTGTTTTGTCTACACACCTAATATTTCAGTGATTCTGAGAGAAGAGCCAAGATTTTTTTTCTAAACCTAAAAGCAAAGGCAGAAGTAGTGGATTTTGAAAGGTGTGCATGCAGTCTGTTGAAAGCTTTCTTAGTTTGCCCTGCGTCAGTAGCTTTGAGGACACGCCATTAAGCTGGGGGGTGTTGGAAGGAAGAGAGAAGGGACGGGTGGGTGTCTGTACATGAAGTCATACCTGTAAAGATTTGTAATGATTTGCCCAAGGAGTTGTTAAAGGTGCTAGAACCTGAACTGTAAGAGAGGGGAGGTCTTGGATGTTCATGACAGTGAGAGCTGACTCCGGCGAGCACATCCTTCCACTCTCTCCATTGAATGCTGCTGTATGCCAGGCCATGGCCAAAATGCTTTCGGATACCCGTCCAGTTTATTCCTTGCAACAATGCCATTACCACCCCATTTTACAGACCAGGAACCTTACACTTGGAGAGTTTAGGAAACCTGCCCAAAGTTGCTTCACGCTTGATCTCTGTGTACACACACACACACACACACACACACACACACGCATCCCCACATACGGGTCTACACACATGATGAGCTGTTTCTTTTAGACCACAACTATGTATTTTTATCGGTGTCCTTTGTAGCCTTCTGAAAAATTAACTCTGATCTCATCTTTCACTTTTATCCCCCGGTCTCAAGGTCTCCATCAGAAAATAGCCCTGAAATTCTTTACCCTGCAAAATCTCAAATATTTAGGAATCATATCTGAGGTTATTTCTGGCCATCTACCAAGTTTGAGGAGCAGGTCAGGGTCCCTTTGGCCTATAAGTGAGAACGATGGAGTGTCAGACTGCTGATGGACACGTGTGTAGGGTGCAGGGAGCTGATGGGAGGAGGCACAGGGGTTGGCACCACCTGGTGGGCTCTGGGAAGACTTCTCTCCTGGTTAGAGATGATATTTGATTTGACCCTTGGAGGTCGTGTAGATTTTCACCAGGTGCTTGGGAGGGTGGGAGGAAAGGCTTAGGGTGGGGAGTGGGGAGAGAAGCCTTTCCAGGCAGAAGGATGAGCCTGAGAAAGGCATGGATGAAGTTATGACACAGACCCGCAGTACAGCTGGAGCATAGGCTGGGGATCAGGTTGGGGAGTGGCAGCTCGTAAATGACACGATGCCGGCAGACGTGAACGCAGGTCAGAGGCAGCTTACACAGCGTAAAGAAATCTGAACTTCAACATGAGGGCAATGGGCTTCATCAGAGCCTTGAAATCTGGGAAATAACATAACGAATACATATTTTAGGAAAATAAATCTGTCGGAGGTGGATAGGTGAATTAGAGAGGGCAGAGAAGGAGTAGGAAAGCTACAGCCTTGCCAGGCAAGGACTCATGAGCATTAAGGTGGAAACAATGGAGACAGAAAAGGGGGGACTGAGGTGAGGGACGGAGAGGGGTCTTCCCCCATTTCCGGCCCAGGTGCCATTAGTAGCAGTCAAGACCAGAGAGGATGGGTTTGGGGGTAGACATCAGGAATCAGCTTGGAATGGACAGAACAAAATTATAGGTGCTGGTGGAAAAAACAGGAGGAATGGGTGTTGTGTAAGCTGCTAAGTTTGTGATCATTTGCTAGTTTGGCAGCAACAGAAGACTAGCACACCGAGCATGCCTTCCCCTCCTCTTATTGTTTTAGGGAGACACTGCCTGTGTGCTTATAAATCTCTGTTTCTGGGGTTCAGTGGCAGGAAGCCACACACCCAAGTCACTGTTCTCCAAAAGTCCTGTCAGTGATAAAGCTGATAGTTCGGTCTCCATCTGCTCGACTTCGCCTGTCTCACAGGTGCTTCTGGATCATTGGGGAGCAAGGGTGTCTTTTATTGGCCCTCCTCAAGCCAACTCTGTACCTGTGTCATTCTCTTCTGATTCACCCTCACCCCACACAAACACATAACCACTAGAGTTTGGATACCTTACCAGTGAGGCTCCCTCCTCTTCAAATACTAGACAGTACTGGATAAGCAAGGTTTATCCCAAGCCCCTGGGAATCCGGTTAAGCGCAGATTCTGATTCAGCAGGTTTGGGGAGGGGCCTGAGTCGCTGCATTCCCAGCAAGCTCCCTTTGATGCCACTGCTGCTGGTTCAAGGACCCCACTCAGAGTTGGCAAGGCCAACTGCTCAGTACCCAGCAAACATTGTGCCTAGCACACACTGGACTGCAGTCTCTGAAAGGTTTCTGTGGCTTCCCTGGTGGCACAGTGGTTAAGAATCCACCCGCCAATGCAGGGGACACGGGTTCGAGCCCTGGTCCAGGAAGATCCCACATGCCACAGAGCAACTAAGCCTGTGTGCCACAACTACTGAGCCCTCGTGCCACAACTACTGAAGCCCACACACCTAGAGCCCGTGCTCTGCAATAAGAGAAGACATCGCAGTGAGAAGCCCGTGCACCACAAGGAAGAGCAGCCCCCGCTCGCTGCAACTAGAGAAAGGCTGCACACAGCAACGAAGACCCAACTCAGCCAAAAATAAATAAATAAATCTTTTCAAAATTTTTTTAAAATTGAAAAAAAAAGGTTTTTGTAAACAACATTGCAAATTGCAAATTGACATGAAATCTATCTCTGATTGGACTTTTAAAACTAATGGGATGGACTGAATGTTTGCATCCCTCCCCCAGCCAAACTCATACGTTGAAGCCCTAAACCCTAATGTGATGGTATTAGGAGGTGAGGCCTTTAGGAGGTCATTGGGTTTAAATGAGGTCATGTGGGTGGGGTTTTCATGGGATTAGTGCCCTTGTAAGAAGAGACTGGAGCCGTTCTCTCTCTCTCTCTCTCTCTCTCTCTCTAGTCATGTGAGCACATAGCAAGAAGGCAGCCAACTACAAGCCGGGAAGAGGGCTCTCACGAGACCCCAAACATGCTGGCATCCTGATCACAGACTTCCAGTTAACAGAACTATGAGAAATAAATTTCTGTTGCATAAGCCACCCAGTCTATGGTATTTTGTTATAGCAGCCCTGAGTTGACCAAGACAACCATAATAATAGAAGCTCCCTTTTATCAGTGCGTCAGACCTCACACTAATAACTTTACATGCCTTATTCCATTTAACCTGCTAGCAGCAAACAGTCCATAATTATTCCCTTCACTTTACAGATGAAGAAACTGAGCTTCAGTAATTGGCCCAATCTGAACCCATGCAATTTGCCCCTGGAGACATAGTCAGCAAGCTAAACCAACCTTGCAAGATTCATATCATTATGCTATTATCAAATCTCTTTACTAGTTCTTGACAAGTTGCCTTTAAACCATGTGGGCATTCTTTCTTATTTTGAGCAGCTTTGTCCACTACAAATGTAATATGAGCC